AAATTCTTTAAAAATGAAATATTTATTATCGTTGCCTGTCAAGTACAAACAGGTACTGTTTTTTTTTTTTTTTTTTGGTTTTTCTCCGGTACCGGGAACCAAACTCACAACCTTGCGTTTGCCAGGCAGGCGCTTTTGCCGCTGAGCTAAATCCCCAGCCCACAAACAGGTACTATTTATCACTTTCTCTTCATCTGACCAAAGCTGGTTTCGTTATGTTACCTAGAGAAATGGAGGTGGACAGTGCAGCAGATGCAGCATAGTGGCATCCTTACATGTCATCCTTCTGTTCTGTTCAGGAAGGAGCTTCTACATATGAACGCTTAGTGGCTTGTAGCATTTATGAAGGTCTCACCCAGTGCTGGGAGACTGCCTTGTCCTCAGGCTTCCCTGGGTAAAACAAGGTAGTTCCAGGACCAGTATTGATGCTCAGATCTGTTTTATTGCAATGATTTCCTTCTGCTCGTTCTGAAAAAGACTGGAAAGCTGAAAGGAAGGACCAGAAGATTGCTTAGTTTAATCTACAGATAGTTGATGTGTAGCAAACTCAGCCAGGTGCTAATTTGCAGACATAATCAAATCTGGTGAACGTCTAATGGTGTGTTGCCACTAACTACATCTCACTTTTAAATTTCCAGTTAAACTTAAATCCAGTTTCTCAGTCACACCAGCCACATCTCAAGTGTATGACAGCCACATGTGGCTGGAGTCTGCAGGATTGGACAGTGCAGATTACAGAACATTTTCGTCACAGAAACAGTCTGCCAGACAGTGGATCTTCTAGATCAGAAATAGATTCACTTCCCTTGACTTTCTGATAGGTTGGTAGTGGCTGCTTAGAGAACTAGGTAAAGAAGGTGCTGAGGTTGCATTCAAGCTAGGCCCAAACTGTTTGATTAGCAGTATATGTCCCAAGAAGACAGAACTGGGCTGAGAGGTAGGAGCAGTAGTTGTGGTGTGTAAACAAAACTGTAGGATAACGACAGAATACTTAAAATCAAAGGACAGGTTGCTATCGTTTGGTAGAGACAAGGGTGTTTGCTTGTTTTTAGCAGAAAAATGTTGGAAAGAGAAGTGAGAAGCCTATGAAATTGTTGTGTTCCTTCTATAGCCTCTCATTTAAGTAGTGATCACTTTTGCTATTTGTCCAAATAAGTTAACAACTGCACTTTGCTCTTATGTATGACAAAATCACAGTGGCTGGCAATTTTTAGTTTATCCATGAAATAAGGAATGGTGTTATGATTAAACAAAGCCTACCAAAATAGTCCATAATTAAGCTACTTTTTACTAAGAAACAAAACTGATTAAGTTGTTTTTTCTTGTCTTCTGATGAAGGGTAAGAAGAGAGAAACCAAATTTAAGGGAAAAATTGAAAAGTTGATATTGTTTCATTGATCCTTGTATAATCACTGCTTTCAGGATTTGAGGTCTATGTCTACTGACATTTTTAGAAAAATCTCTAATAATTAAAGGTAAATAGGATTTTTTCCTCTCTACATCCAAACTAGAAAATGGATTTTAAAATGAGTACAGTTCTACTACTGATATCTGACTTAGTAAATTACTTACCATAATCTCTCTGAACCTTAGTTTCTTTATCTGTAAAATGGGATTTAACAGTATCTGTCTCCATGAGTAGAGGGTAGAGAGTAAGGGAAATAGAAAACCTAGCATGCCTGACACCACTGTTATAAGGACTCAAATGTTAGATGATATTATTTAGAAAAAATGTGCCATGTGCACTTGGGAGACAAACACTGTGTTCTAATCTAGGCCTTGCTACACTGTGTGATTTTTGTCTAATTGTTTAGCCTCTCTAGACTTCAGTTTCCTCTTTGATAGAATGAGGGTAACAGTAGAGCTGATTTCAGAGGTATTGCGTAGGGTTAAATGAGATCATACACATAAATAGAAGGCAAGGACATCTAGTACAGGGTATATAATGAGTGTTTGGTAAGTGTTAACTGTTAGGATTAAATGCTGAGGTTTATATTAGGGGCAGCCCTGCCAAAAGATAGATTACCAGATCCGTCCGCTCCTCTCCATACAATAATTTCTAAACTATGCCATTTATACAATGTGCACATATACTATTCTACTGCCATTTCACTATAAATTATTATTCAGCCTCTTTTATTAAGCTTTTGGCACAACTGTTAGTCATCATAAAGATCTTTCTCACTTTGTATTCTTTCTACAAACTGCAAGTTCATATCTAATTTAAAAGACCTAATGTTCAAGTCAAGAGAGAGCCGGGCCAGAAGTGGGAGGGGTCTATGTGGGGTCTGAGAGCATTCAGTCCTGCGGAAAGCCTGTGTCACTCTCTCAGGTCCTGACCTGTGTTGCCTCTCCGGACAAAGTCCTTCAAAGAGATGTATCTTCCCTTTCCTATAGTCAGTGTATGTCTTTCTTCTGTTTCTGGGACCTGCAAAAGCAGGACAGGGCTGAGCCTTGGTTGACTCATGAGACTTCTGCTAAAACCTGGTGTGCCTGGAGGGCGCAGCTAGAGTGTCCCTGCCCCAGCCGCTGAGCCTGCTTCTGACCTGGGGAAACAGGTTTACATCCAGAAAACTACCTGGAGTCCTTTGGTATGAAGAGACGAGTTGGGGCTGTTTTCACTTCTGCGCTTCTGTAACTCGGAAGGAAGCACTGTACTGTTGCTAAAAGTTAATTTTTTCAGAATTTTCAGATTGTTTTAAAATCAAGAATTTATTCCTTTGTAAATGGCAAAAGTATTAGGTACTTAGGACATTTTCGTTGGGAGTTATCTCCCCTGTGTGGTGATTTAAATCACTGTTTGCTGACGGCTCGCGCTCAAATCCCTATGTTCAACTTTGTACCTTCTGTCTTCTCAGCATCCTTCCTGGGCACAGCTATCCTTTCTTCTCTGACTTCACCACCACTGCCCAAGTTCTGAGTTTATCACCTTGTTTGGTAAACAGTGATGACCCAGTAAAGAGCACAGCCAGTCTGAATGTGGGGGTTCTAGGAGGGGCCTCCTGGAATAACTCCACAGGGGAGTCTGAGTCTGATTTATTGAGCTGGGTCTTTCATGGATAGCATGAGGGGGGTTAGTGGGACAGGCTTAGATGGAAGGGCAGTGTGAGACTAGGGGAGCAAGAATAATTGAGTGTGTAGTCATAGTAGAGGCTGATGTTTTGTGGGCGCACTGTGACCTAGCAGGTGGAGTGAGTATGCCATATCCTAGCAAAGTAGGCATTGTTCCCTGGATCACGTGGCTGGAGAAGGGGCAGATAGGGGTCAGACCTATCACACCTCACACCTGCATTTGTCTTAACAACTTAAAAATAGTTTGGATTATAAAAGTAATATGTGCGTAGTATAATTCAGAGAATATAGTAAGTATAAGAAAATGAGTTACCACTGAGAAATAGGTGCTATATATTCTGGACTTTTATTTCCAGTCTAAGTACCACCCCCCTGCTGTGTGTGTATATCGAAGTGTGTGTAAGGAAATTTGGTTCTACTCTGTATAGTTTCATATTGATTTTTACTATCATAATGTTTTTCTTGAGCTATCAGCATGTTCCTGTATCACTAGTATTTTTTTAAAGTTAGTAGATAGTGTTCTCTTACATGTAGTAAGTTTTATTTCACAATATTTTTAGCCACTTAGCTCTCCTTTTTTCAATAAAAACAATGCTTATTTTTCAGTATCTGTTCACGGTGGAGGCTAGTGAGAAAGAGTGTGGGCTTTGGAGCTCCAAAGACTGTAGCTCAAATCTTACTTTAGCTATGTGTCCCTGGTCCTCGGTGCATTCATAACCTTCAACTTTCTTCTTTGTAAAGATTATAAGAATCCTTTTATCCAACTTGTGTTAATTTACTTGAGATGCAGCCCAGCATGGTGGCACATACCTGTAATCCCAGCACTTGGGAGTTTGAGATAGGAGGATTGCTGCAAGTTTGAGGCCAGCCTGAGCTACATAGTGAGTTCAAGGCTGGCTTTAACTACATATTAAAATCTTGTCTCTTGCGGCTGGGGATTTAGTTCAGCGGCACAGCACCTGCCTGGCAAGCGCAAGGTTGTGAGTTCCATTCCTGGTACCGGAAATGTGCCCCCACCAAAAAAAAAACCTTGTCTCAAAAAATAAAAACAAAAGAAATTTACATGAGATGGGTATAGTGTACACTCATTTACATAGAACTTGGCACCTAGTAAATTTGAATAACTATTAGCTGTTATTTAATAGCCTCTGTTACTAATCATCTGTATTTTTCTCACATAGCTCCTAGAAACCAGATTATACCATCAAAGTGCATGAATGTTATAATATACTTTAATCACATATTGTGAAGTTGATTGACTGAATCTGTCAATTCATAGTCACATAAGTGGTATGAAAACATATCCAGCCTCACCCCTTTTCCTTATTGGATCCTGTCTTTTTCCTTATTGAATAGAAATGTGAAACAAAAATTGTACCTTGTAACTTGCACTTCTCTGCAATTTGCATTTTTGCATGTAATTTACATGTACCAATAAAAAATTTAAAATGCTCAATTGCCCAATCATATTCTGTCTTTATAAATGATTGAAGTCAGTCCTCATTCTTATCAGCTGTACATCTTTTTTCTTTCTAAACCACTGAGTTCTTTGTATATCATAAAAATTATTTGTAGCTAACGTTTGTTGAATTTTAGAACTGTCAGATGAGGAAACACGCTACCTAGTTTCAGACACTGCCTGGCCCAGAGTACATGCTCAGTAAATCCTCCATTTTGATTCATCTTTGTTGTGGGCTGCCGCTAGCACTCTGTGCCTTGCACGTAGGAGCAGAATAAGCACTTGGTAACATATGCCATTAGTACCCACCCACCCTTGTTCTCTGCACAGAAGCCAGTCTTTCTTGCTTACTTTCATCACCACCTCTGCATCAGCTCAGATGAGCTTTCCTTGATTGTTCCCATATAATTTTCATGACGCTTTTCTGAAGCTCTGTAAAATCAGGTTGTCTCCCTTGCTTCATTTCTAGGTAGCAAACCTGAACATGGCAAGTGGAGCCATAAACAGAAGCAGTGCTTCAACTCCCCCGACCCTGCGACCTGTCATCAGTCCCTGTGGTCCAACCTGGTCAATGCAGTCCGACCTCCACACCCCTGAGAACCTGTCCAGCCCTCCGGGAAGCAGGTATGTGAGGGGCTGTGGAGCTGACATGTCGGTTGCACAGGAAGGGCCTACACCTTAGGTGAGCCATTCCCAGTTCAAGTCCTGAACAGAGGCAGTAGTGGGCGGGTTAGCCTGGCACTTGGATAAGAGGGCTACATTTTATTTGTAAGACATCTTTGGGGAAAGTAAAATGAAAAGGAAATTTCTGATATATTTAAGAAAATCATGTCTGTGTGGCGTGAAAGAACAAGAGTTGATACTAGGTTTAATATTTGTTTCTAATCAACATTTTCGAATACAGAATTTTGACATTTTTGTCCTTACCTCCGAGTTCTTTTTTGTACTTTTAAAGGCCGTATTTATGGGAGTTTTGTTTATTTTTTTCCTTCTTTTTTTTTACACTACTGAGGAGTGAACCCTGGACTGAGGGAAACATTCCGTTGTGAATGGCAGAAGTAGTAGGTACTTAGGACATTTTATAAGAGAACATTTTCGTTGGGAGTTATCTCCCCAGTGTGGTGACTTAAATCACTGTTTGCTGACAGCTCGCGCTCAAGCCCCTATGTTCAACTTTGTGCATTCTGTCTTCTCGGCATCCTTCCTGGGCATCTTATATTGCTTGCTTCTCACGACCATCCTTTCTTCACACTGAGCTTCCTCGTAGTCCTTTGTTTCTTTATTTTTGATTTTCAAACAGGGTGCCTTAGTCACTGTCTCATTGCCAAGACAAAATATCCAACACCCACAATTTAAAGGAGGAGGGGTTTATTTTGGCTAATGGCTTTTAGAGGACTTCCCCCCATGGTTGGCTGGCTCCACAGCAAGGAGGGGCACGGTGGAGGGGTCTGGCAGAGGACAGCTGCACATGTCATCAGAGCTAAGTAGCCAAAAGCAAAGGGAAGAGCTGGGGAGAGAGATACATCCTTCCAGGCCATGCACTCAGTGAACTGCTGCACCTTCAGCTGTGGATTATCAGTGGATTAACCTAGTGAGCATAGGTACCCCATGATCCAGTCACCTTCCAAACACCCCTCTCCGAACACATAAGCCTCTGGGGGGACACTAGATTTAAACATAACTAGGGTCTTCCTAAGTCACTAAATTACCCAATCTGAATGTGAACTTGTGATCCTCCTGGTTTAGCCTCCCAGAGTACTAGGATCACAGGCACATACCACCATGCCTGGATGCCGTATTTGTTTTTATGTTTTTACCTAGGCTATATCATTAAGCTCAAATAGCCTCCTTGGGAAGCCTCATTTGGGTAGTGGAAGGAAATTTCCTTTATGCAGTTGAGGGAAGGGATAGAGGACAAAATCCAAATAAATTTTGGCCGTAAAGTAAGCAACTTCTGAATTCAAGAAGAAAACACTGTATTGAATTCTGGTCTCACTCTATATTTTAAGTTTTTATGTATTAAAAATATAAGAAATGGGTTCAGCTCCCAACACACCTTGCTTTAGTAGTTATTAAGTATGGATTAAGTTTCATCAGTCTGAGTCAAATGAGTTAGAGAAATGTGCCTGCCACAGTCAGTCTCCTGGCCATTGAGATCCAGTCCTTCCACACAAAGAAGCTCTGCCACAGTGTCCCAGCCAGTCCTGCCCCTGTGCCAGGACTTCCAGCCTCCCCCTCTTACATGCTGCCATGTTCTGCCATGTTCTTGGGAGGGGGACTGAAGGGCTAGGGGGAAATACCTCAGTTTTGTCAAAGTATCTGTTGATGTCAGAGTTATTACTTAAGGAGCTCATTGGGAAATTAGAAACTCTACCCAGGAAGCGGTATAAACGTAAGCATATTATATCATGCTCTGGTATGATGTCCTTTGAACCCATGATCATTGTGGTTGGAGTGAAAAGAATCCTCTCAGTTGAGAATTATGGAGAGTTGGGGAACAAGATGAAGGCCTTTCTGAGACAGACCATCCTCCACACGGTTCTTTTCACAAGAGAAGTCTATCATTTGGTGACTTACAACCTACACTGAAACCACATTCCTGAAACATAAGTTGTAAAAAAGAAATTCTATTTATATCATAGAGCTTTATTTTCCATATAAAGTATTTGCACATATTCCATTTTCGTGTTAAAATCCAAACCTTGTTCCTTTGGAGAACGTTTCACTGCATTCTTGGATAGTCTGCTTGACAAGGCCGCAGGCATTCCCATACTGTAAACAGCATGTCCAAAGTACACATTTTGGAAAAGTAGAGGAAGAAATGTAGCATATTTTATGCTTGTAGATGGAATGAGGGCAGAAAATTTTAATAATAATTATGGCTGGGTTTAGAGCTTTCTCTTATAGCACCTATTAGTGGTGAGACAGAAGTTGCCCAGATGGGTCTGTCAAAGTCAGAGGTCAGCACTGTGAGTGGCTTTCTCCCAGCTAGACCGCTGGTGGGATTGGGTTGTAATGACACATTATACAGTATAATTCAGAGCGGTCGCAGCCAAAATGCACCTTTACGATGTCCCCTCATCTGTTCCTTTTTTACTCAATTCTGCCCACAGCAGTCCTCACTCTGCTTCCTCATGAAGCATAAGGGCCAATTGTAAGGTTCCATTCCAGTCCAGGGTGGCCCTGGGAAATCTGTCACTGTCCCCAGGCAACCTCCAGTTGCCAGTATAGCTAGAGAGTCAGCTTGGGAGTTCTAGTTCCACGTGGAATTCCCAGAGGTACCCACCCTAGAGCAAGGTCTGTCCCGAGCTGGCTGTGCACAGTACTGAGTCCTGATTTCCATTTGTATATGGTAGGTTTTGTGGGTATTTATTTAGTCTCTTGTTCCTCCTTGGTATTAAGGGTGACTAAGTTTAATGAATATGGTATTCATACCTTAAGAGATGTGAGTTTTGTTACAGGTTTTGACACTAAGTGACCCTAAGCTATTCAATTTAATCTTTTTATTGAGTGAGCCTACTTATATATAAATTGGCCTGTTTTGAGAGCTTTTAGGTTGCTTTTAAAGTACTTTGATCTCCCTGAAAAGGGGGCTAGGTAAATAAAAGGTACTCTTACTGGTTTTCCTACAATAGCAACAGTGGATTCCAGTCCCGATAAATTCTAATTCTCCGAACTAGAGGCTGTCCTGTAAACTAGAATGAAATATAAAGAGAATCCCATTGCTGCTGTACTTTTCATTTCTGTGTGTCAGAGAATTCAGTGACTTGGTAGCCACAGGAATGAAAACTGGTGACTCACAAAAACTGCAAATGGTGTTATTTTTCATTTCCCCGTGGTGTTGCTATTGTTCTCAATTTTATGGATCACACAACTTTTCACCAGACAACCTTGTTCTCTGCCCCCTCCACCCCACCCCACTGGAAACCACTCCAAATGTAGCCTCAGGGCTGTCGTCTCCCATTGGGTCAGTCTGAGCTCAGCCCAGCTCCTCAAATCCCCTGGTTCCTTTGGTCTGTCTGGAGTCCCTGCTCAGGCTTTGTTGTGGGAGAGGAAGGCAAAGAGCCCATGACTTGCCCAGACAGTCTGAGGCCTGGCCTTGCAGCTTGCAGTTCCCTAGACGCTCTGGAGTTGGACTTGGCCAGCCGTTCTGCTGTTGTTACTTTTCAGAGGTAATAAGTGAGATTAATTGCAGGCCATTCTCCAGAAGAGAGAGTAGTTAGGGCCAAATGCAGTCACATGTTTAGGAGCCTGAGGTGTGCCTCCAAGCAAGGCCAGCTTACAGTTATACAACAGGGACTCAGGAATGCAGGTACCACATGTTTATGACCACTTTTTCCTCCAAGCCATGTTTCCTGTCTCTAGGTGCTGATACCTGGGTGTTTCAACTGTTGTGTGGCCAATGGGGAAGGTTGAACTTTTCAAGCTGCCTTTTAATTATCTCCTTTCTGGGCACATGGAGAGTCATTAGGAGTTGAGATTTGATGTGCAAAGGCATCTCGTTACTACCAGCCTTCTGTGGAGCTTGGCCATGGCAGGGAGGAGGATTTTCTAGGTGAGCAGCATTCATTGGGTTCAGAGTGCATTTTTCCTTTGAGACCTGGAAGGGTTACTGTAAAGTCTTGGCTGCTGGCTGGAATGATTTGGGAAGGACAGGGCCTCAGACAGCTTGGCAGGAGCCTGAGGCCCTGTTTTCTTCCAGTTCAGCCCTTCCTTGTGGATGGAACTGTCAGGGAATCCCACGAATGTCTGGCTTCTGCACTCTTGTATGTTTTTCCAGCATTTGTCATTGAATTATTTTTATCCATCTCTGGCTTTTTCAGCAGATTTGTCTGTTCCTCGATATTAAAAGTAGGGGAAGTTGACAAAAGAGCACAGCTATGAGTTTGTTCCCACTTGTGATAGGACAAGATAGGAGCACGGGCTGCTTGTCTGGCCAGCACCCACTTGCTAGGGAACATCCTTGTGTCAGAACTTTGAAGCCTACCAAGGAATGGGATGGCTTCGAAATTCAGGCCATTTGTGATGTCACCTTATCTCTTTGCCCTTTTACTCCACAGTAATAGGTCATAAAGAGTCCGATATTTAGGAACATATTTTTCAGGGACTCTGATTCCAGTTTACCTAATATGCTTCTCCAGTTAGATTATTTCATACATATGTTGTTGGAGATTCAGGGCCTCTCACTTCTCATCTTTTTATTCTCATTCAGTCCTTAGGAACACTGGGTATGTTCATCTTTTTTCTAAAAATGTCCTGTGCATTTTGTATATGTCAAGCATTGTGATGGATGCTGGGGAGTTGCAGTAAATAAGACAGAAGAGTCCCTGACCAATAAGACAGAAGAGTCCTTGACCACTCAGGTTTGCTACTGAGGCTGAACCTTTCCTGTTCTCAGCACAGGGTAGAGTCTAAAAGTCATTTAAGATATGACACTTGATCACGGCATCTAGCATTGAGAAGGAACCATACAGGATAAAACAACTAGAGAACAGTGTAGGGCAGCATATAACAAAGATCAGATTTTATGATATAGCCAATTAGAAGAGTATCAAAAAGAATATGTAAGAATTTGACCTTGTCACATGGTATGCTGCAACATGGATAAGCCATGAGGGTCACCG